CACACACACACACAAAAAAAAAAAATCTGATATATGGTGCCAGTATGGAGAAGAATTGTGGTCCAATCTGCACTACTATCTGATCGATCACAATTTACATATTCCATTTAAACCTGGGGTTAATTTCAGTGTACGAAACATTGAAATTATTCAACCTATTGCATGCGTTTTATCTATTTTATCTACGAATTAACATTAACTTCCAAAAGCATTTTAAGTCTGTTTGCATATCTGGTTTTTTCAAAGCTGGTTATGATTATCCTCTTCAATCCATTTTTAAATAAAAGTATCCTCTCCAACCTACTTATAAAAAAGGATATCTTCAATCTTCTCATGGACTAGTTCGGGGAATCTTAGTAGCTTAGTTGGTTGGCTACCTGAACTTTCACCTTGTTGGTGAGAGTTCGATTTCCCACCTTGTAATCCCTCCTTATTTTCCTTTCCCCTACCCTCCATGTAATTAAAAAAAATTCTAGCTCTTCTTTTGTCCTTAATTTTTTAGAATCTGGTTCTGGTGCTATAATGATCTTTAACACATGAAATATTTCTATTAACTGTTCATTGTCCATGCATAGTGCATATCTGTAATATGTTAAGGCGATATCCAAACAGCTGAAGCTGCCATTGGTATGTTTTCATGAACAAGCTCACGTTTCTCTTTGCTGGGTGAATTAGAGGCAAGAGGGCCAAATAACACTGAAAAACTATGCTATTTTGCCCTTGATCTTGCTTCTTATAATTTTAAGAGCATTGTTTATTTTCTGACATCCTCTACATCAAACAAAAGAAAATAGAAGAGAAACAAGAATAGTCCAGAAAAAGAATTTGGATGTATGTTGTACTCATAGCTAATATTATTCAGATTCATACAGGCTGTTCTACTGAAGATGACTGTAAAACAGAACAAAAGAATGAGTCTGTACCCCTGCAAATTCCAAGTAGTAAAAAGACGCTTTTACTGGACATATTTCAAGGGGAAAGCTCTCATGCACATGCTTTCCTATTTGGCTCGGAATTTGTCAGCGTTGATGATCAGGGGAGGGTTATAGTCTCATCTGTTGCCCAACTTTTTTCAAAAGAAACTTTGGTTTCTAAATTTACAAGCACCAGATTATTTGAAAAGTTCAACCTGCTAGAAAAAGATTCCCTTCATGGTAAGGTTTCAGGGAATGAGCTGGAGGAAAAGACTGCTGGAGTAAAAGGCATTTCTGCTACTCAGACAAGTGCAGAAACAATTAATTTGGAAGTATCAAGAATCTGTGAGTCTAATGCACAGCAACAGAAGATATTTGATCTCTGCGAAAAGAATATTCAAAGTCCAGATCACAAGGTAAAACCAGAAGGTAAGAACATCAGTGAGAGTCTGGAAGTTCAAATTTGTGGGACGCCAATAGTAGCCTATGAGCCAGACAAAGAGTTTGGAGATATGGAGCTTAGTCCACGTCTAACCAACTTTAGTGATATCGAGTTTGTCCCGGAATCTCCTATAACTGATGGTCTCTTTCTTTTCCTTTAACAAAGTCTTTTATGGAACTATGCCCTTTTTTTTGAATGTATCTTTTTGTTACCTTAAAAGTTTTATCTTTTCTTTCGCAGGGGTGTCAAAGGATGAAGGTGCACAGTTCATGGTTAAAGACCTTGTTTCAACACCAAAAGAATTGTCAGAACAGAATGAAAAGACTGCGGGTGGCATTAGCACCTTTGGAAAAGATAACACAATGTCAACTCCTATACAAAACATTCAGCATAATGAACCGAGAAGTTGCAAGTACACTTGTCTAATTGCTGAAGATAATCAAACTCCTATGGCAAAATTATCAAGCAAAAGCTGTAGCGAAGATTGGCAACTTGGCTCTACAGACAACTCAGAGAGCGTTGGACAAAAACCGAAGTTTAGAAGATTGCGCAAACACGGTGATCTTCCTAGAAGAAAACCACCAGACAAGCAAAAAACTGGTACTTCCAGAAAACGAACAGCTCTTTGTGGCACTGACAGTCATACTGGTTTCAAGCATGGAAGAGCTATAGGTAACTTGGATGCTTTACTTTTCTAGCAAAAACAAAAGCATGCTTGCTGCTAATCATTCCTGGATTTTGATGGTAGAGGGTTTCAATTAGCTATCCATTTTCCTACAAATTTTTAAAGGATTTTGTATTCTATGTCGATAAAAAATTGGATATTGATATATCTGCTATTGCCATCAGGTGAGAAACGGCAGCCAAACATTGTTACAGACTTCATTGAAGAGGAAGCTGAGTAAGTTCATAATTTTTTTTTGATAAGGTAAATTGTATTAATCAAAAGGGAGAGAACTTCCGTGTACACAAAGTATACCAAAGACGTAGAGAATTTACATCAGAACATGATTCTCTACAAAAGACGCCCAATCTTCTATACAAGTAGGGGCTAAGTGAGTGCACCAAAAAGCGATCAAAGATAAAAGACTATTCTTAAGATGTGAAAAAGGAGACTCAATCTCCTCAAAAGCTCTCCTATTTCTCTCCCCCCATACTACCTACATGAGAGCTAACGGAGCGAATTTCCACGCCTTTTGCTTTCTTCTTCTACGAAAANTACATGAGAGCTAACAGAGCGAATTTCCACGTCTTTTGCTTTCTTCTTCTACGAAAACCGCCCCAACTATATAACATTTCCTTTACAGTGCTTGGCATCACCCATTGAACACCAAAGAGATTCAGGATTGCCCTCCACAAAGCTGAGGACACAGGGCAATGCAACATAAGGTGATCAACTTCTTCTCCTGAGCTTTTACAGATGTAGCACCAACTAACAAGTGTAATTCCCCTCTTTCGGAGATTTTCAGCAGTCAAAATCACTCCCCTTGCCGCTAGCCATGCAAAAAAGCACACC